TGTGGGCTCAACACCTGACCTGGCAGAGATAGGGCTGGCTGGGTGTATCTCCCTGTTTCACACTAGCCATAGAATTCTCCCCTCCCCCCACTCAGCAGCCCAGACCCCCTTCTGATCCCCTGCTTCCAGCTTCAGTCGCTGCTTCCTCATGGAACCAGCTATCAAACTCCCCAACTGATTACGAGTGGCCAGAGACGGGAGCGTAACCGCCATCTCCTGCATCCTAGGGAGAGTGACCACACAGCTGTTCTGCTCTGCACACTTAGCTACCCAGCCCTTCTCCTGGATCTGAGACACTAACTTCCCACTCTCCTCCTTCACCTGGGAACAATCCTGTCCCACACACACTGGCTTCCCCGCAAGCTGGTCACACACAGTCACTGGGTCATCAGCCTGCTCCAGTTCTCTGGCTGTTCCTGTCTCATCTGGAACAACCCTCAGTCCCTCCGAGACCTCTCCACCACCCTCCACACTGGGTTTCCCTGAACCCAAGTCAGTGGAGTCACTGTTAAAAGAACGATTCTGTCCGTCAGGCACTGACACAAGTGCCTCACACGACAAACTGCTGCCCTTTACAGGCAGAGCTTTCTCCTGGATGCCTCCTCCAAGCCAGGCACTGCCCCCTCTCTGTCACAGCGAACTGCTTGCTACAAGCACTGCCAGGACTCTCCTCCCTCTGAGCTTCCTTAAGCAACAGTTCACCCTTCTCTGGCTCCACAGCAGCATCACCCTGCTGAGCCACAACCAACTCCTCCTGCAATTCCCTTACTCCCTGAGTCATCTCTGGCCCCTCTGGTGGAACAAGAGACAGGGACAGAGACATCTTCCTTCCCTTTGCAGCTCTCCAGATGGCTGTAAACTCCCACACAGTCATTAGGCACCAATGTTAACAGGCCCTCATTCCCTCCTTGTGCCTGGGCTAAGGGGTCACCCTGGTCCCGCAGAGTCGCTCCCCCCTCTTCCAGCAACACAGCAGCACCAGGCAAAAACTCAGTGCCACAGCTGTCTGATCTCTGGGGTTCTGGCAAAACACTGCCTGGATCTACCCGAGTCACAGCATCCTCCTCCCCAGCAGACACAAACCCAGGCCCTCCCCTTCCTGGCCCACACAGTCATTAGGCACCAATGTTAACAGGCCCTCATTCCCTCCTTGTGCCTGGGCTAAGGGGTCACCCTGGTCCCGCAGAGTCGCTCCCCCCTCTTCCAGCAACACAGCAGCACCAGGCAAAAACTCAGTGCCACAGCTGTCTGATCTCTGGGGTTCTGGCAAAACACTGCCTGGATCTACCCGAGTCACAGCATCCTCCTCCCCAGCAGACACAAACCCAGGCCCTCCCCTTCCTGGGCCGTAGCCGTATCCAGATCTAACTCGGGGGCAACAGCCCTGCTCTCGTCCATCACGGGCTGTGGGGCACCTTCCTCAGACAAAGGAAGAAACCCTTCCCCACACACAGCCAGACAACCAGAGACAGCTTCTCCTTTGTCCCCATACTTCTGGCTAGTCTCAGGCATACAGCTAGCAGCTGAGACAGCTTCCTTCACTGCCCCACTGCTACTTCCACCAGCCAAACCGCCAGCTTGCACACACTGTGCTTCTTCACACAAATCACTTTCAGTTTGTGCAGGTTCAATTCCACAAACCTCACCAGCCACCAGCTCCTCACCCTTCAGAACTTTCTCTTTTTTCTTAGCTAAAACTCCGCTCTGGCCAGCCACTCCAGACTGCCCCAGAGAAACCTTTCCCCGATTTCTGGGCTTTTTCCACCCTGGTTTCGATTTCAGCCTCGCCTTTGAGGCATTAGACAGGCCCTCACTTAGTGCTCACTGCCCCCCTGCACAGAGCCACAACTATCCGCCACAGGCAAACATTTGGTGACACTTTCCCCTTGGTTACAGCAAGACTGACCAGCCCCAGAAAACTTCCCAGAGTCACCCGTACCCCCCTCACAGCCCCCATACATGCTTTGGGGCTGGGCTACAACATTAGCTGGGTTAAAAGCATTCGCCAGGTCATCGTCACACCACACGGTCACACATCGACCTTTCCGGAGGGGACAATCCCTTTTGTGCTTCTATTCTCTTAGGCTGAAGTCCAAATCCGGCAGCTTTTTCCTCGGCTTGTCTGATTTCTCTCTACAACTTTGCCATTTTCTCTGCATGTTCTCGCTGTGGCCTCTGCTCTCTTTCAGCGGCTTCTCGGTCTTTTTCAGTCATTTCCCTGGCTAGCTTCTGCTCTCTCTGTTCTGCTAGCAGACGAAACTCCTCCCGTTCTCGTTTATATCTCACTTGCAGTCTCCTCACTGGACCCTGCACTCTGATTTCTTCTGCAGCATTTCTGGCAATTAACAAGGATGCCGGCTCTGGATAAGACACTTCCTCACTAAAGGCCTTGCCTCTGTTCCAGCACAAGGCTTCCAGAGCCTCTCTGTCCAGACTCTCATACTGTAGCCGACTCATTGCAGTGGCTCTTTACCCAACCAAACTCTCAACACCAAAAATCAAATGTAGACAGCGTGGGGTCCTGATCCAAAGCTCAAATGACCAAGATCTGTGGATCCTGCCGACTACGCCACTGTGACGGACCGGGCCGGGTCTGGGCTCAGCTGAGGGCGTTTGCTCAGGGCGAATTGCTCAAATTTGGGGCTCTCTATTGCTCCCAGACTGGAGACCTTCCCAAATAGGCAACAAACCAGTCCCACAGAGCGCTTCAGCTGCCTGCTCGGCCAGGTAGAAGCCTCACGAGCAAAACCCTTCCAACACCCCAGCACTATCCGTGCCCCAGATGGCCCCGGGCCTCATGCACAGGTGGGGGGTCTTAGAGCCCAATCTCACCTTCCCCGAACGGGTTCTTCCAGTTCCGAGAAACCAGCCTCAGATCCCAGGTCATAGAATCATAGAACCATAGGGCTGGAAGAGACCTCAGGAGTCATCAAGTCCAGCCCCCTGCTCTAGGCAGGACCAATCCCAACTAGATCAACCCAGCCAGGGCTTTGTCAAGCCGAGACCTAAACACCCCTAGGGATGGAGACTCCACTACTTCCCTAGGGAACCCCTCCCAGCGCTTCACCACCCTCCTAGTGAAATAGTTTTTCCCAATATCCAACCTGGACCTCTCCCACCACAACTTGAGACCATTGATCTGTCACTACTGAGAACAGCCTCTTTGGAACCCCCCTTCAGGAAGTTGAAGGCTGCTCTCAAATCCCCCCTCACTCTTCTCTTCTGCAGACTAAACAGACCCAAGTCCCTCAGCCTCTCCTCATAAGTCATATGCTCCAGCCCCCTCATCATTTTGGTTGCCCTCCACTGGCCCCTCTCCAATGCGTCCACATCCTTTGTGTAGTGGGGGACCCAGAACTGGACACAATACTCCAGATGTGGCCTCACCAGAGCCGAATAAAGGGGAATAATCACTTCTCTGGATCTGCTGGCAATGCTGCTCCTCATGTACCCCAATATCCCATTAGCCTTCTTGGCTACAGGGACACACTGTTGACTCAATTTACACTCTGGACCTTACCCACAAATCACGCTGGGCCAATCCTTTAGAATCTAACACCTAAAGGTTTATTACTACAAGAAAGAAAAGCCTGAGAGTGAGGTTGTTAAAGGATAGGACGTTAAATGCACCGAATCTCCCAGTTCTCGCTGCAGGCTCTAGCAGAGATGTTACAGCTGCTGGCTTAAAAGTCCTTGGTGCACATCCTATGCCAGGATGGGTCCACAGTTCTTCCCGGCTCCTCAGTCCCTTCACTGCTGCCTCTGGGATGAAGAGCTGAGCTGAGCACCAAGGTGGAGTCAGCCACATGGCATCTTTATATCCCCTCCTGGCTTCTTCCAAGCTGACTAGAGTCACACGGCCAGGGGCCAGGTGTGTCTTTGGCTTCCCGAGGTCCATTGTTCCCTGGAGCGTTGCTCATTAGCATGTCCATGGGCAAACATTCCCAGCCCATTGCTCTGCCTCAGACAGAGGATCTTTCAGCATCAACACAGAGTCCATGTTCATAACTCCACACCCAGACATTATACCGGTATATGAAGAGCATGTAAAGAATCAGTAGAAAGTAGCTTCTATTTGACACCTCACATGGCCCCTTTGTACCCACTTTTGGGGAAACCCCCCCATGGGTGCAGCAGTGATCTGGCTGCCCCCCTACAATCCAGTAAAGTGACAGTAGCCCCTAGGTATCAGTCCCCATTCTTGGGGTGTGTCCTTGGCCTGTGGAGGGCTATTGTTCCACGGAGACTTGCTCATTAGCATGTCCATGGGCTGAGCTTCTTCGCCCATTGCTCAGCCACATAGAGAGAAATATTCAGTATCCACACAGAATACAGGCTTATAAGGTCACACACAGACCGTATACAATCTCAGGAATAGCATCTATAGAATCAGTAGAAGATGAGCTTTCATTTGACACCTCGCACGGACCCCTTTGGGCCAACTTTTGGGGCAAACACCCGCCCTCCCACGAGTGCAGCAGTGATCTGGCTATCCAGTAAGGTGACACCTCCCAGGCTCTACTCTCCATGGAATGTCTCTGGACGGGCCACGCAGCCCCACCAGCCCTTCCCGGCCAGGCTGTCTGCTCTGGGGTCACTTCAGGAGCTGCCAGTGACAGATGGACACGGCCCGTGGTCGGACTCTCCAGTTCAAATGTGGCACCTGCACACAAATAGTCCAACCGGAACCAGCGAGCCCCGAGCTTTACAGATGCCTCCGTGGGCTTCTGTACCAGTTTGTGCCAACAGAGAGCCGTGGTCTGTGCGCCCCGCTCACGCCCTGGTAGCGTCACATGCTCCAGGCAGGCAGGCTGGGCTGGTCCCAGTGACGCTGTCAGGGCTCCCTTGAGACAAGCGGCCCTGGGCGTGCATTGGCCCCGGGCCTGCCGGTGTCGCAGTGTCCTGTGGGCCGTGCCTGGCCTGGCTGGGACATGGGGCTGTTGGTGCCCACGGGGCGTGCCGTGCATGCAGGCTCATGGCAGCTCCTTCCTGCCCCACAGGCCTGTGCTGCTGCCCCATGCTGAAATTCTTTGCGTCCGCCAGCAGGGACGGGTCGGTGAAGATCTGGACCGCCCAGAACCAGCTGCTCCGGTGAGAGGCCAAG